CCTTCACGTGATCGTTCACCTTCCGCACCACACGCTCACCTTGGATCTAAGGTAGGTGCTAGCCTGTCGTACATACCACATTAGGTGGTTCCGACTCGTAGGTGACTTGCGATACTTCGCACAACCTTCACATGATCGTAGCACTTAAACGTATTTATTTACACCTAGCCTGTTGTACAAACTACTTTAGTGGTTCCGACTTGTGTTCAAGAATTGGTAGATGAGCTATATAGGCGACTTCGACTTATGTACTAGCATTGATTGATGAGATATGGGTAAGTCGTACAGGTCACTATAGGTGACTCTGACTTACGTGCTAGCATTGATTGATGAGACATGGGTAAGTCGTACAGGTCACTATAGGTGACTCTGACTTACGTGCTAGCATTGATTGATGAGATATGGGTAAATTGTACAGGTCACTATAGGTGACTCCGATTTACGTGCTAGCATTGATTGATGAGATATGGGTAAGTTGTACAGGTCACTATAGGTGACTTCGACTCATGTGCTAGCATTGATTGATGAGTTATGGGTGCAGTCTTACAGGTCACATTAAGTGACTCCGACTTGCATGCTAACATAGATTATTGAGTACATGATTATGTAAATTGCTGATGAGATGCTGTGTCGTGGTATATTTATGGAATTATTGTTGATATATTTTTTATTTCACATGGATACGTGGTATGATTTTCTGGAAACTATATAGGTGTGGTAGCGAGGGGTAATATAGTTTAGAAGGTGTCTATTAAAATTGTATTTCCAGGGCCACTCACCCTTGTTTTATTTTCACCCTCCAGGTTTATTAGTTGAGCTTTCTTATCGATGAGGATTCATGGAAAATCGTAGTATTGGAGATTTCTTTCGATGGTATGATTCTCAACCCACTCTACGGTACTTACTTCGTGTGAAGTGGGTTCATTCCCTCTCACCAGTGCACTCTGGTTCTTAGGCGCTCTTAGGTTTACATTTATTCACATTATTCCATATCATCACACTTTATGGCTTCGTCATCTTTCAGGTGTCGCCCAGCATAGCTCGATTCGGAGTCCTAGTGGACATCCCGGGTTAGGGTAGGAACCCTAAATAACCCTATATATTGTTATATTGTTTGCACATTAATACAATGAGTCATAATACTACATGTAACATTCATTTAGGTTTTCCTTAGATCTAATGTTTCTCTCCTTTTTCCCTTCCCTTGCCGTCCACATTACAAAAATAAATTTTACTCCCTAAACGACATCATCTTCTTCCTTTCTCCCCAACCAAAACACTGCCACCTTCTCTAAACTTTCTACCGCTAACTATATCGTTGGGGTTCATCAAATCAAAGTCCTTGCCTCTAGGGCATTTTCTTAATTTCACGCTTTTAAAATTAATAAAAACGTAAAATTTGGGATGGGTTGTCACTTGATCTATACACAAACTTATTCTGCATATATTTATTTTCAACTTATATTGAAAATTAATTTTCACAGAGTTGCAATAACAATCATAAAAGTATCACACACAAACTGCTTCTACATAATTACATGAACGAATTTTACATATGGATAGTATAACACAAACTGAATTTGAAAGGATAAACTGATTTTGAAAAAATATAAATTGTAAAATAACAAAGTATATCTTGAGGAGCTTAGTTTCTACTGAAACTTAACCTTATCATGCAGAAATGAAAGTGCTCTTGCATAAATTGAGGAGTTCAGTTATTTATTTATTTATTTATGAAATAGTAGGGTTTTTTAAGTTTCTAAACCAATTTTTTCCAAACTTAACCCTAAATTAATTTTCTTGCAAACTGATCTTTTGCAAGAAAAATAGTAGGTTTTTTTTAGTTTCTACTGTTGGATACGTGTAAAATTTGATTAAAAAATAAAAATTTGGACACATGTCCAGCCGTGATTGGTCATAAACAGCAGCTACTGCTAATCTTTCAGCAGCTACTGCTGATCTTTTAGTAGCCAAGTCCGATTCGTTTTGTAAAGGGGTAATGACAATTTATTTCAATTATTTGTCTTTTTTTTTTGTTAACGTGGGCCATTATTAATGGATCTGTTTTGGGTGTTGTCACAACCCGTCCCGAAATATTCAGTTTTAGCGATGTGAAATGACTATGTTGCCCTTGGACGTGTTGTGCTATTGTGTAATTTAAGTTTGGGAGTGAACTAATTCTTTAAGTCCTTATTATTTGGAACTAAAAAGGACTTGGTCGTTAGTTTTGGTGGGTGACCACGTGGAACTCACACACACACAAAAAAAAACTCCTTCTCTCTCTCTCCTCTCTCGTGCTCTCTCCCTCGGACTCACTCTCTCTCCTTTCCTCACATACGGACAAGCACAAAACTCACACTCAACGCACGGATCGACGTTCTTAAGGTGATATTCTTGTTCCCTACAAGCTCCTGAGTTCATATATGTCATTTTTAGGACTTGAAACCGTGAAAAACCCGAGAAACCATAACCTCTTATTTGAGGTACTATTCATGTAAACATAAAATCTCATGTTTTTGAGGATTTCAAGCTTATAGGTAGCTTAAGGAGGTCCTCACGAGGCTAAGAGTGGTTCATTGGAAGATTTTGGATGTCGGAATAGCAAGAACGACGAGGTTTAAGTTTGGTCGGAATATTGAGGCTTTTTCCGACCGCTTTCCGACGGTTTCAGGGCTCGACTCAGCTATGGTTCGATTCATCTTGGTGAGATCTTTAAAATGATTCAAATTTCATTAAGTTTGGTGTTGAAATGAGGGAGAAATAAGGATTTGAAGTTTTTCTAGAAATCGGCGAACAGTCGTCGACGTCCTGTGACTCGTCAGGAAAGAAGGAGTATATTCCGTCAGTTTTGACAGAATATGCTAATGGTGTAAGGTGACGCGGTTAGTTTTTAGACAGAATATTCAAGAATTTAATGGAATATTCCCTAATGCCGTTACTACCACCGTCAGTGTGCTAGGCACGTGCCCGCGCATTGGTGGCGTGTCTGGCCATGCCTTGGCTGGTGCGTGGCGGCGTGTGGGTGGTCGGAAAATTTTTCTAAAAATATGGGGATGTTCGTGGAGTTGTGTAGATCACATTGGTATATTCAAAAACCCCATTCGAGCATTGTATGAGAAGTTATTAGCTAGTTTTGTCTATGTGCTTTAAATAACGTTTGTATAGTTAATTGGCATATAGGTGAGACTTATCTCGAGGACGAGTGCGTTCAAGGGCGACTTGGGGGCTACGATCCTTCGACATACCAGTGAGTGGGCTTTTGGTTTTCAGTATATATTTATATACTTGATATTTTCCCAGAAAAATATGTTTAAATGAGATTATGCCTTCAATGCCATGCATATGAATTTTTATTTCGTATACGAATTGGTATATGATGCATTGTATATAATTGTGGTGCTATGGACGCTCAGGTAAGCTCAGGTGAGTTATGTTTGGTTATGTGAATTATCGATGATGTGATATGTGATTGAATAACATTGAGCTCATAAAACTGTACCTAGGGTGATTGTGAGTTAGCCAGAGATATGGCACAGGCCTATTTATAATGTCACCTCCCTTACCATATGCTCATATTGGATCCAATTTAGGTGCACAGTCTTATCGTATAGACCTTTACTATGGTTTCGACTCGTAGGTGACTAGCGATTTATCGCCCAGCTATTATGTGAGAGTAGTATTAAGCATAATTATATTACACCCAGTATTGTCGTACAGACCTTTTCATTTGGTTCCGACTCTTGTGCAATAGAGTGCCGTATAGGTCATCGTAGTGACTTTGGCTAGATTGACTTTTGAGCTATGAATTCAGCCGTACAGACTACCACAGGTGTTCCGGCTAATATTTCATACTTCTATGAAGTTATTCTCACCTGAATTACTTACTCTGTTATATCTTGGCATGGCATACATATGAATATGATTATGTGAAACATGATTTGAATTGATATATTTACATATATATATTTATGTATATGCTTATATTCTGTTTTTGGGAAAAATTATATATGTTTTATAGCGAGGGGTTAGAAATGTTGAAAAATGAATTGGTTTTGTAAAACATTTGTTTTTGCCCACTCACTCACGTTTTATGTTTTGCGCCTCTCTAGGTTTTAGGTAAGCTTGTTGTTGGTGGCCTTGAGGACTTCGACGGTTCTGACATAATAAAATAATTGTATGACATCTTATGGTACTGTATAACTAGTACTTGTCCTACTGGACTGCACCTAGACTTGTTATGCTCTGATTATGAGTATTTACTTTTTGTATCTTACTCCTAACACTTCATGTTTACTAGTGCACTCTACTAGTTTCGGTTTTTAATTATTCATATATTTCTTATCCTTATTGCTTCTGCATTATGCACATGGCTACGTCACCCTCACGTGATGGCCAGCATGCCTTGATCTCAGTTGGGGTGTGTCAGGTGTTGTCTCTTTTTGAAATGTTTAAAAACTAGTGAAGTTGTGTGAAATATGTTATATGTTTTTGTCTCTATAGGTAAGGCTCCTTAAAATTTAGCATGTCCTTTGGAGATGCTTTGAGAGCAAAAGAAAGAGCTAGATGTAAAAAAAATCAAATCAGCATTAACCCTAAAAAATGACAGCAACAGTATTTCCAACAGTAAAGATGTGGCATAGCATGGATTGCCATAACCTTTGCTACCAAAATTGACAACTTTAAATTATTTTTTAATTAATTATTAAATGATTTTGACTATGAAATATAATTCCAAGCAAGCCCCTTGTAACTCTGAACCATGGCTTTTCTAAACACTCAACAAGCATTGCTTTTTGATCAGTTGTGTCAAAATTTGTATTGGAAATTAGGAATTACATTCTCAAAGAATTCTTTCCACGAACCAAACAGAAGAGGATATAAATAGAAAATTTTTGGATGGTGAGAATTCAGTGTGATATTTTGATACAAACCTTTCTCTACAAGTCAAATAATTCGTCACTGGCTCGCTCGCAAAACATAGATCAAGTGAAGAAAAGCTCAGATGTATAAATTGTCTCCAATGAAAATAATGTTTTCGTATCACGTTCTCAATAGTCAGATATCAGTAGTTTTTTAGAACAATTGAATTGAATTGAATTGAATGGCACTAAAGAAACGGGGTGCAGCCCGTGTTACATCGGAGAGTAGTTATCAAATTTCTACTCAACTTCCAGACCAAGCGATATAATTTATAAGAATAGGGAGCTGTCAATAGCAGCGAATTCTCACCTGTCGGAGGGAGTTTAATGTTCAAACCATCTGAAACTGCAGAGCAATCAAACAATATTCTCCGACTCTCAAATTCCAAGAGATGAAGAAAGATCTGCGATTTCATGTGAAGCTGCGTACGTGCGTAGTTAACTTAGGAAGGACAAGCTCTGACTCATGATGCAGCAACTCCTCACCTTCTTCAGATTTTCAACTTCTATCTTTTCCCCTCTGAATGCACAAAATCAAGTGTAATGAATCGACTCCCAGCCTGCTGCGCTCCCCTCCCCCTTGCCTCCTGCTGAGATTCACTCTACCCAGAATATGAAAAACTCATCTACCAATCACTTCGCTGTTGAATAACTGTTACACATGTAACACCAATTCTCAATTAAATGACCCACTCAATCAAGGACATACACACAACAAACGAAAGCGCACGCACTCGTACACTCACTACCAAATAACAACAACAACAACAACAACAACAACAACAAAGCCTTTTCCCACTAAGTGGGGTCGGCTATATGAATCCTAGAACGCCATTGCGCTCGGTTTTGTGTCATGTCATCCGTTAGATCCAAGTACTCTAAGTCTTTTCTTAGAGTCTCTTCCAAAGTTTTCCTAGGTCTTCCTCTACCCCTTCGGCCCTGAACCTCTGTCCCGTAGTCACATCTTCGAACCGGAGTGTCAGTCGGCCTTCTTTGCACATGTCCAAATCACCGGAGCCGATTTTCTCTCATCTTTCCTACAATTTCGGCTACTCCTACTTTACCTCGGATATCCTCATTCCCAATCTTATCCTTTCTCGTGTGCCCACACATCCCACGAAGCATCCTCATCTCCGCTACACCCATTTTGTGTACGTGTTGATGCTTCACCGCCCAACATTCTGTGCCATACAACATCGCTGGCCTTATTGCCATCCTATAAAATTTTCCCTTGAGCTTCAGTGGCCTACGACGGTCACACAACACGCCGGATGCGCTCTTACACTTCATCCATCCAGCTCGTATTCTATGGTTGAGATTTCCATCTAATTCTCCGTTCTCTTGCAAGATAGATCCTAGGTAGCGAAAACGGTCGCTTTTTGTGATCTTCGCTAGATTGCTCCGGTCATTAGTGTGGATAAGTATATAAATGGATAGAGATAGGAAAGCAAACACAAGATGTACGTGGTTCACCCAGATTGGCTACGTCCACGGAATAGAAGAGTTCTCATTAATTGTGAAGGGTTTACACAAGTACATAGGTTCAAGCTCTCCTTTAGTGAGTACAAGTGAATGATTTAGTACAAATGACATTAGGAAATATTGTGGGAGAATGATCTCGTAATCACGAAACTTCTAAGTATCGGAGTGTGGTGTCGTCTTGACTTGCCTTATCTGTCTCATAGGTAGATGTGGCATCTTCTCTGGAAGTACTTTTCCTCCATCCAGGGGTGGTATCTTTAACTGGTGGAGATGCACAAGGTAATGTATCAATTTCACTTGAAGCTTACTTGTAGTTTCAGGCTTGGTCAAGCGCGATACAAACCATGTAGTAGGAGTCCCCCAAGTCGCCGAGCTAGGGGGTCTGCTGAAAGAGGTGACAGACAAGGTAAGCAATCAGAGCTCCGACTGATTGTTCACCTTCTCCCCATCTTGCAACAGCATGAAGGATAAAGAGAAGAAAAATGAGAAGAGATGATATGAGATACTTTTGCTTTTGAAGAAGTAACTTTCCACAGGCTTATTCTTGAACTGAGCTGGAGGGTTTTCTGGTTTCCTCCAGAGTATAAGGCCGACTGAAGAATTTGAGGGTCAAAACAAGTCCATCAAATCTAGAGTACGTTCCACCCTGCTGATATGGGATACTTTTGCTTTTGACAGAGTAATGGATGTATCGGCACGTGTGCTGTTACGCTTGTCTCCACATGCTTCCTTGTATCCTTCGCACTTGCCCTATCTGTTCCTCAAGCAGATGCGGAATCTTCCTTGGAAACATAAGATGTTGAAGATGAGTACTCGAGAGCAATGCCAGGTAAGTAATCAGGTAAGGGGTTCCAGGCAGTCAGTTCCTGGCTGGAAGCTTGATTCCAAGTGCTGACTGATTGCTCTCTTTCTCCTTGTCTTGCAGGTAAAAACAAGGTCAAAGGAAAAGATAGGGAAAAAGCATGATATGGGATACTCTTGCTTTTAACCCTGATGATATGAGATATTCTTGCTCTAGTATAGCTTGTTTGCAGAGGTATTATCGGGGGGAAAGAAAGCTGAATATTTCGAAAGGCTTCGTTGGGAGAGTGCCCTCTCAGATATGATGAAGGGTTGAGCATTTTTGCAGGTCTGCCTGTCCGTTGGGGATGGAGGTTGACATATATAGGCGTCTCCCTAACAACAAGTAGTAATGCTATTCCTTTACCCTGCTTGGTCATAGCACGGTAGTGGGAGCTGTCAGTTTCACATGTTTTAACTCTGTCAGAGCACTTTGAAAAAGTGGTCTGTGGTATCTGGCTCTCGAGATTCGGAGAACGATGCCTCTTCGATTTTTGAGAAAGCAATCATGCTGGGGGTCTGGCTCTCGAGATTCGGAGGGCAGTGTCTCTTCGATTTTTGAGTAAGTAATCATGTTGGGAGTCTGGCTCTCGAGATTCGGAGGGCGGTGCCTCTTCGATTTTGGAGCAAGCAATCTTGTTGGGAGTGTTGTCTCGAATTTGAGTAAAGGTTGGGCATGTTTGCTAGTCTACTTTGCCACGAAGCACAAAGATTGACACACAGGGACTTTCCAATTATCCAGCAATGGTACTGTTCCTTTACCCTCTCTTCGATTTTGAGAAAGTAGTCATGTTGGGAGTCTGGCTCTCGAGATTCGGAGGACGGTGCCTCTTCGATTTTGGAGCAAGCAATCTTGTTGGGAGTGTTTTCTCGAATGTGAGTAAAGGTTGGGCATGTTTGCTAGTCTACCTTGCCACGAAGCACAGAGGTTGACACACAGGGACTTTCCAATTATCCAGCAGTGGTACTGTTCCTTTACCCTTGTGGGTAATATTATGGTAGCTAGACCTTCAAAATTTATGTGTCTAAACTTTGTTAGTGCTGTTTCTTTGCTATTCTTTTACCTTTCTTGGTCAGAGCGATGTAGTGGGAGCTGCAAGCTTCACGTGCTCAACTTTGGCAGAGAACTTTGGCAAAGTTATCTGTGGTACCCATGAGCTATTGTTGCGTGTGGGAAGTGGGTGATTGAACAGTAAGATTCATGTGTTTTCTACTTCCCCAGAAGTCTTCGACAGAATGCCCATAATTTCCGCAAAGCTGAGTGTGCGTGTGACAGGTGCTGACAAGGCTGGAAAAAATAGGTGCCTCTTCGATTTCTGAGATCGGACCTCGTGGTCTCTGGGGAGCCCAGCTTTTGAGAAAGCGAGCGCCTCTTCGATTTCTGAGATCGGCCTTCGTGGTCTTTGAGCAGCCCAACTTTTGAGAAAGCAAAAGCCTCTTCGATTTCTGAGATCAACCCTCGTGATCTCTAAGCAGCTCAGCTTTTGAGAAAGCAAACGCCTCTTCGATTTTCTGAGCAGGCGCCTCTTCGATTTCTGAAGCTCCGTCGAGTGCAGATTTTTTTATAGGGGCTGACATTAAGTTCTAAAGCACACTTGAATCTCCACCAGTAGAAGCTTCATTCTTGCACTTCTAAGATCTTGATTTGTCCGACCTCTTCTCTCTTCAACACCTTTGAAAATGTCTGGCCCCTCCGACCGTCGTTTTGACTTGAACCTTGTTGAAGAGGCAGCCCCGCCTTCTCCAGACAACATATGGCGCCCATCCTTCGTCTCCCCTACTGGTCCTCTTACCGTTGGGGATTCCGTGATGAAGAATGATATGACCGCTGCGGTGGTGGCCAGGAACCTTCTCACTCCCAAAGATAACAGACTACTTTCCAAACGGTCTGATGAGTTAGCTGTTAAGGATTCACTGGCTCTCAGTGTTCAGTGTGCAGGTTCTGTGTCTAATATGGCCCAACGCCTATTTGCTCGAACCCGCCAAGTTGAATCATTGGCGGCTGAAGTGATGAGTCTCAAACAGGAGATTAGAGGGCTCAAGCATGAGAATAAACAGTTGCACCGGCTCGCACATGACTATGCTACAAACATGAAGAGGAAGCTTGACCAGATGAAGGAAACTGATGGTCAGTCAGGTTTTACTTGATCATCAGAGATTTGTGGGTTTTGTTCCAAAGGCATTTATTGCCTTCGTCTTCTGGGGCTGTACCGCGTAATGAAGCTCCAAATGATCAACCTCTGATGCCTCCTCCTTCTAGGGTTCTGTCCAGTACTGAGGCTCCAAATGATCCCCCTCCGGTGCCTTCTCTTTCTGGGGCTCTACCGACTGCTGAGACTTCTCCTAAGCAACCTTTGTGAAGGCTCCCTCTTGTGTGTTTATTTTGACTCATGTATATGTACATATTTGTAGTTTATCGGGGATATCAATAAATAAGCTTTCCTTCATTTCAACGTATTGTGTTAAATACACCAAAGCCTTCTTCGCTAAGTTCTTTGAATTTTCTTTTGTTGAAGCTTGTATGTTAAAGCTTTCTGAGTGGAGCATGTAGGTTGGGGTAGTGTTCCCTTAATTTCCCGAGTGAGGAAAACTTCTCGGTTGGAGACTTGGAAAATCCAAGTCACTGAGTGGGATCGGCTATATGAATCTTAGAACGCCATTGTGCTCGATCCTGTGTCATGTCCTTCGTTAGATCCAAGTACTCTAAGTCTTTTCTTAGAGTCTCTTCCAAAGTTTTCCTAGGTCTTCCTCTACCCCTTCGGCCCTGAACCTCTGTCCCATAGTCGCATCTTCTAATTGGAGCGTCAGTAGGCCTTCTTTGCACATGTCCAAACCACCGTAACCGATTTTCTCTCATTTTTCCTTCAATTTCGGCTACTCCTACTTTACCCCGGATATCCTCATTCCTAATCTTATCCTTTCTCGTGTGCCCACACATCCAACGAAGCATCCTCATCTCCGCTATTATGAAAGAAGATTCATGTGTTGGGCACACTGACAGATTTGGTATCCTTACCCGAAGGAACTGTGATGCACCTTGAGGGGCAGGGTAGACGATGATTGGAATTCTGTAGAATGAAACCACAGCAAATAAATAATCTGATTATATTTTGGAAGAGAGAGAGAGAGAGAGAGAGAGAGACAGTAAAATGATGGTAACAAATTAGAATTAATTTTACAAGAAAAATCTAGCCAATAAGCCATGTGAGTTATTTTCTGTTCTCTTTTTTATAAAAAGATTTTGACTTTGCTTCATCAGGTTCCTCCACCCGTCCACTGAAAAAAAAAAAAAACACGCACTCACTTTCCACCCAAGCATAATGAGATTAACAAAGCACTCTTGGGTTGAGATTCACCGTATATCTGTTATACATTATGCAAACTACACAAGTCATATTTCATGTCCAGCTAATCCACATTATACAATGTGCATTATAGTAAAGGGTTCTCACCACAAAAATCGGAATTTCAATTGATCTTTAAATGTTTTGGGGTGACGTCTAGGTGCCAGGTCCGTACATGGCAATGACCTTCTACAGCAGGGAAGGAAGAGAAAAAGGTTTTTGTTCACATTTGTGTTAATTATTTTAAAAGGGCAAAATCACATTTCATACTCTGTTTCGAAAATAGTGGTTTAGAGAGTAAACTTAGGGTTTAAATAAAATCACTCCCTATTACATTTCTTTGTTTTACAACCTACACATCAACTAAATTTTAAGTAGTTACTGAAACTGAATCAAAATATATTTTCTTCATATCTTATCCTGGAATTGAATCTAGACCTTGTCACAGTCCAGGTTTCATTCCATCTAACAAGAAATATATACAGGACCAAGAGGGCTTAGGGAAATATCGGTGTTGCAAACATGTTGTACTCAAGTTAAGGCAAACGCTATCGGTCCAAGAAAAGAAAAGAAACACGTAAAGGAAAACACTAGCTGTAAGGTGAACTCACACTATGAAAACGATGCATCGAAATTGCTAACAAGGATATGCAGATTTATTTCAACGTAAACATACACAACATTTAAATCACCATGCGGATGTCCATAAATGGCTAAGCAACATTTGATCTAGCATTTTTTCATTAGTGTACGATTATCATATACATGAATCACATACCTATTACCCTATTACCTATCGGTACAGATGGCATGAGAATGAGAAACTGGATTATCTATAAACCCTATATGTTTCTGATCTTGTCGTTAATTAAGAGCTTGAGAAAATGGCCGAGAAGATGTGGCAAGTTTGGGACATAAGAATACCATTTAAAATTTTCCAGAAGTTAGTAGTTCAAACCACCAAAGATTCTAGTTATGATACTAATGTTTAGCACATAAAAAAATAAATTATTCATGGCAATCTTATATCCTTATGTGTTACTTCGAAGCTGCATAAGTTATATGGCCTCAATTATAATCAACGGCATCTGATGATATATGTAATTTTAATTATTAAAGTAGCCTCTCCATAAATGGGGGTAAGGCTAGCCGACATTCACCTCTCCCAGACCCTGCGTAAAGCGGGAGCCTTGTGCACTGGGTACGAGCTACTTCAAAGTACTTATTTCTTCAAAAATTTAAATATTTCAAATTACACATGCAAGCATTGTATAAACAATCAAAATCATAGAAGCTAATTGCCCAAGAATTTGCAAAAAGGGCTAACTGCAGCATTATAGGAAAACCATTGCACAATGAACAATGAACTTACAACAATTTTGGGTGACAGCTGTCTCATTCAAAGCTCCATTCAACTGAGGTGGTAATACAAATTATTGAAGAACCAGGATGGCTTTTTTGTACAAATAAACAAAATTCATGTCAATTGCTCTGCATATTTACAAATGAGTAGGCGAGAAAGAATACTAGCCCTTGTTGAGCCGTGCAGTTACATAATCAACTGCATTTCAGTTTTCTAGTCCTTCATCTTATTTCGACTCTTGGTCAGTATGGTTTGCAAAGCACCCAATTGTTTTGATGAAAATGGAGGCACCCTTTTTTGAACCAACATCATGATTGCCTTAGCCTTACCAAGCTGGTTTGCCTTCTTTAGGCCTTCAAGCAATGTATGAATGGTATCCACATTCGGAAACCAATTCTTTTGCATGCAATCTTTACACATAGTATACGCCAAATCAAAATCCCCTCCTTTACAAAGATAATGAATCATAGTCTGATATATTTTGACATTAGGGTTGTATCCCTTCACATGTAGAGCAGAATACACCCTTTTGGCCATTTCAAGATACCCTGCCTGACAAAAACCTTTGATGACCAAATTATATGTAACCTCATCAGGTGTCATCTCAATATTCTGCATCAAACCCATCAATCTATTAGCTTCCCAGGCTCGTCTCCTATGTACCAGAAACTGGATTCTAACATTGAAAGTCGCAAGATTAGGCAAACACCCCTTCAGTATCATAAGATTCCATAAACCATTACCAATTTCCCACCGGTTGTCCTTATAAAATGCTGACATCAGTGTTGTGTATGTAATGACGTCTGGTTTTATTCCCAACTTCTCCATATGTACCATGAACAGATATGCTTTAACCAAAATACCCATTTCGCAAAAAGCCTTGATAACAATATTCAACGAATATATATCCACTTCAATGTCAAACTTCTCCGGAATTTCCCTCAGAAATGCCTCAACAGCTCCTAAATCACGGGTTTGAGTCAGAACCTTGAGTGCAGCATTGAAAGATTTAACAGTCCTAGAACAACCATACAAATGCATATCACAAAAACTATCAATAGCATGCTTAGTCATCCCAGCCTTACCATACAATGTTATAATCCTCATAATAAACCCTTCTCGCCGACCTTGTGGAAGACTCTTCTGATGCTCAAGCAAATGTTCAATGTAATCAAACCGGCAAGCTCCAGCAAGCCGAGACACAGTGTCTTCAAATGCAAAGCGGTTCTCAATGACAAGTCTATTGTGCGCGTTCGCCTTAAACAAATGAAACAGTTTTTCGGGGTCTCTCTCGGCTTTAAGCTTAACGAGTGTAGGCTCTTCTAATGGTTTCGTATTCAAAACTCGATTGGACACAGCTGCAGGGAAATCATTCGAGGTTATGGCAATGGCGGCATTATAGAATCTGCGACTGGTTCGCAGAAAGAGCATGTTTCAGGACTTTCCCAAGATTAATGCACACCCATCCATCGACATCAGCATTCTACACAAACCATTATGAATCGAAAACCCAATTCAAAATTCGAAGAACCCAGAAATATGAACGCCCAAAAGAACCAGAAATCGCAGACTTTATCATATATTGTTCAAATTTTCAGAAACTGGAACATACCCATTTGCTGAAATCGAAGGTTTTAGGCACACACCCGAGAGGAGCTTCAATGCCCGTGTGCAAAAAACAGAAACCCAGAAACGCAAACACCATCAACGAATCGTATATTCTCTAATCAAATCAAATTACCAGAAGGCTTGGATAAAATCGAGAGAGAGAGAGATAGGAGGTTTTAGCATTGGGGATTTGAGGGAGAGGACATTTGGTTAAGTGATTAGAGTTGGCCGGGACTCTCTGGGTTTTTTTGGGGGGGGGGGGGGGGTGGTCCTGGCGGTTTAGGTTTTTCTCATAGGTTGGTTTTTCTTCTGTGTTGTGCTTGTGGACTGTGATGGTACAGCGCGCGGGTCCAGGGTAAGGGTGCGTGGACTGCTCAAGTACACGTTTTAGGTGATTGATTGCTGGGACAGCAAATCATTAACGGGGACATAGAAAAATGAGATTTTTCCATGTTTAATATCGTTAAGCGTAGAATTTTGAAGCGTGAACTTGTAAATTAACACTATACTTAAAAAATTTTGGTTATGCGGAAGGAAAGTTAAAAAGAGTGAGATGTTATAAAAATGTAAAAGTTATAGAGAGATAACCTTTATTTGGGACAGGAATGAAGCAGTTGCAGAGTATTATACCAACACAAGTTGTTGCAGAGGAAGTAATGTATATTATTGCTATTAGATATTTTCTTTTCCTTTTTCTCTCTGCTTTGTTGAACATTCGTAAAGCTCTATTTATAGAGCATCACCATGGAAACAAACAAAAACACTGTTAAACATATGACATGTTCACTGTATGCATGTGGGCATACATATTATACTATTTACAACACTCCCCCTTGGATGCCCACATATCAACATCAGTTGCCTCATTAAAACCTTGCTTGGAAAAACCCTGTGAGAAAAAAACATAGCGAAGGAAAAAGAGTACAACTTTATCCAGATGGTGTTGAGCATGCTTATGTTGCCTCGTTAAAACCTTGATAGGAAAAACCCAGTGGGAAAAATCCTAAGCGAAGGAAAAAGAGTACAACATGCATGTATCATGGATGCTCCCCCTGAATTAGATCTCCCCCTGATTCTGCATTCTTCAAATTTGTAAGCCGATGTAATCCGATTCCCTGCACCAGCTTCTGAAATATGCACTTTGGTAGAGATTTGGTGAACAAGTCTGCTAAATTTTCATTGGAACGGATTTGTCTGACTTCAATAACTTTAGCCTTCTGAAGCTCATGTGCGCTGAAAAATCTTGGAGATATGTGTTTAGTCTTATCACCTTTGATAAATCCTTCCTTCATCTGGGCGACACAGGCTGCATTATCTTCATGAATGACAGTTGGAGTGTCTGTCTTTGAAGGTAGACCACATGAATTCCGGATGTGATGGATCATTGATCTTAACCAAGAACATTCACGACTTGCTTCATGTAGAGCAATTATTTCCGAATGATTGGAAGATGTTGCAACTAGCGTTTGCTTCGTTGATCGCCATGAAATTGCAGTATCTCCATTAGTGAACACATATCCATTTTGTGAGCGGGCTTTATGCGGATCGAAGAGAAAACCAGCATCTGCGTATCCAACAAGGATTTGTTCATTTGTGGGCTTGTCTGAGTAGAAGAGACCCATATATGTTGTCCCACGAAGGTATCGTAGAACATCTTTGACTCTCTTCCAATGACGAATTGTTGGAGCAGAGCTGTACCTGGCTAACAAGTTAACTGAAAAAGCTATATCTGGTCTAGTACATTGTGCTAAATACAATAAAGCACCTATTACGCTCAAATATGGTACTTCTGGACCAAGGACCAGTTCATCATCTTCCTTTGGACGGAATGGATCTTTCTTAATGTCTAAAGAACGAACGACCATTGGGGTGCTAAGTGGATAAGCCTTGTCCATGCCAAATCGCTTCAGTATTTTTTCAATGTAAGCTGATTGATGGACCAAAATTCCACTAACACAATGCTCGATCTGCAGGCCTATACAATATTTGGTTTTCCCAAGGTCTTTCATTTCAAATTCGCTTTTCAGATATTCAGCAGTTTTATTGAGCTTTTCAGGAGTCCCAACTAAGTTCATATCATCAACATATACTGCCACTATAGCAAATCCAGAGTTGGATTTCTTAATGAACACACAAGGGCAGATGACATTGTTGATATATCCTTCTTTAATCAAATACTCACTGAGACGATTATACCACATTCGCCCAGATTGTTTCAGCCCATATAGTGATCGCCTTAATTTGATTGAGAACATACCCTGTGGTTTGTTTGTTGCTTCAGGCAACTTAAGTCCTTCTGGGACTTTCATATATATGTCAGTATCTAATTCTCCATACAGATACGCGGTGATGACATCCATAAGTCGCATGTCAAGTTTTTCTGAAATCACCAAACTTATTAAGTAACGGAACGTAATTGTGTCCATTACAGGAGAGTATGTCTCCTCATAATCAATTCCAGGTCTTTGTGAAAAGCCTTGTGCAACGAGTCGTGCTTTGTATCTAGCAATCTCGTTTTTCTCATTGCGTTTCCTTGTAAATACCCATTTGTAACCTACGGGGTTTACATCAGTTGGGGTTTGGACTACTGGTCCAAAAACACTTCGCCTTTCCAAGGAATTTAATTCTGCCTGGATTGCATCTTTCCACTTAGGCCAATCTTGTCTCTGTTTGCATTCACCAACAGAGCGGGGCTCAATATCATCACTTAATATGATTTCAGTGGCTACTGCGAATGCAAACATATCGTCAATGATTATTTCATTCCGATCCCACAATTCATTAGTACATGCATAATTTATGGAGATTTCTTTGCTTTCATGTACTTCTGTCTCTTCAGGGCCATTTTCTTCTTCTGGAAGTCCAGAGTCATGAATTGTGGATTTGTCATTTACTCTCTCTTCCTGAATGATTTCATTTGGATTTAGTTATGCCCTCGTCTTTCTTTTCCGAGGGGATGAATCTTTTGAACCTGGTGGTCTACCACGCTTCAGGCGTGCACCAGATGAATCATTCGCTGCCACTTTATTTTGTCCAACAGGGACATCAATTCTGGCAGGTGCATTTGCAGCTGGTATATGCGATTTTGTCACTTTCATAGCGTCATTAAATGCATCTGGCATTTGATTGGCAATGCTTTGAAGATGAACGATCCTTTTCACTTCATTTTCACATTGAAGGGTTCGAGGATCAAAATGAGACAAGGTGGGAACAACCCATGTCAGCTCTTTCCGTTCTTCTGGAACGGTCTTTTCTCCCCCTAATGATGGGAAGACTGTCTCATCAAAATGACAATCAGCAAAACGAGTTGTAAACATATCACCTGTCAAGGGTTCCAAATATCTAATAATAGATGGTGAATCAAAACCCACATAAATTCCCAGTCTACGCTGAGGTCCCATTTTAGTGCGTTGCGGGGGTGCAATAGGCACATAAACAGCACAACCAAAAACTCGTAAATGTGAAATGTTTGGCTGATGTCCAAACACGAGTTGTATTGAGGAGTATTGGTGGTTGGTTATAGGTCTCAATCGAACCAATGATGCAGCATGTAGAATGGCATGTCCCCATGCAGAAACTGGCAATTTGGTTTTCATAAGCAGAGTGCGGGCTATTAACTGAAGCCGCTTGATCAATGCTTCTGCTAAACCATTTTGAGTATGGACATGAGGAACAGGGTGTTCAACATCAATGCCCAATGTCATGCAGTAATCATCAAAGGTTTGAGACGTAAATTCACCAGCGTTATCAAGTCGGATTGATTTAATGGGATAATCTGGGAATTGTGCTGGTGTGAGAATTACTTGACACACAAATTAAACCCTCTTTTTGACAATTGTAGTATAGATGTAAGTAGGGTATCGTTCTAGGCCGGGGATTAGGAGGGATTGCTAATCTTTCCTAAATTAATTTAAAAATATTAAACAAGACTCAAGGATACAAAACTAGGCTAAAAACTCTAATAACCCGAAACACACTTAGAATGACTCAAAATAATGAAAACAATTAAATTAAACACTAGGAACTGAAATGGACGGAAATTAAATTAAAAGACTAACAATAAAGAAAACTAACTAAATAATATAATTTAATAATGGATGGGTGTTTGGTTTTGATGAAAAGTAAATTTAACTTAACTAAATTACAGAATTGACAAAAACATAAAATTAAGGTAAAATGATAAATGACAGACTGGCTAGAGGGTTCTTCTCCACACATGACACATATGCAACCTAAATTGATTTTCAGTTGTTCTTTCAATAAATTGTGAATCTCAATACTCCAGATTAACCGTGAACAGCACTTTTTTAATTTTCAAGTTTTCCTTAAGTTATTGAATTGGACGGAAAAACGCATACAACAATTCAAAACATTCTTCAAAAGTCCCCTACGTGAAAAGCACAATAGAGATACAATCAAAGATCATTAAACTTTGTGAAAACTATAAGCATTGACGAGGCATTCGTAACTATGAAAAGCATGATACTCTTGCCAAGAATTTACTTAACGTGATTGTGACTAGCAACCTTTACTACTTGTGAAAATAAGTTCATAACGATTAGGTGAAATTCACTTATATTCTAGCATCAAATTCATGCATGTAAATTAAGCGTGCACTCTCAACCAACATACACAAATCAGTTTTTATACGAACGGATAAGTAAATTGAAATCACAACTTATGAAATCACAACCGAAGGTAATCAATTCATATTACAAATATAAATCATGGCTTTGAATTAACCTCTAGCCAAAATAAAATTAGTTACACATTATTAAAACAGAAATAAAATAAAAGTTTAGAGAGAGTAAACCGAAAGAAGGTGATCTGCTGCATCTGCCTGTCTTCCTCTCGCTGACAATTCCCTGGACTGCGTCAGTTGCTGCCAAAGGGCAGCTCCTGTTCTTCCCCGCGTCACCACCTCCTCGTGGACTCTGTCCCTCTCTTCTCTACATACCTGATCCTCTCTTGACAGCACCTTATCTTTTTTTTTTTCGCCCCGCAGCTTCACGCTGCCCAAAGGGCAGCGCCCTCTCTCGGTCCTCCCAGACCCCCAAATCCTTGCGTCTCTGCGAGCTGCCCAAAGGCAGCCCCCCCTGCGTTCTCTCCCTTTCACGTTTTTATATCTCCCGTGCCAGTTCTCTCTCTACATAGCTGCCAACGCAGCCTTTCCTTTTTTATTTTTCTATTCCCGCATGCACCTCACTTCTCTGACTTCTTTTCTGCCGTCCCTCACGTCTCCCCGCGCTGGCAC